ACATAACATAATACAAAACTAAAAAAGTTGATTTTACATGATATTGCCCCATTAACACTGATTCCTTTTAAACACCTGCACCAGGATAAATATCAGTAAGAGCCGCTTCGAGCCAGTTCCCTCAAATTCAAGCAGTATTTTTCAGAACCTCGATACACTGACTTTAAAGTGTATTTAAGGTTGCCTGATAMAATTTGAACTTTCAGCTGAAAATCTGACACCTGACAAATTTTACTATCAAAATTATGTCAAGTGCTAAAACAAAGGTAAACCAAATTTCTCACAGAGCTAATCTGTATAAAATTAAGTATTATACTGCATCCTAATTGACATGATGATAATGGGCAAATAAAACTGAGCTGCTTCTGGAAAAGTTTGAGGACACTGACATCTAGTGGCCATCTCATGCCACAGCATGAGCCCTACAGAAGCGATGGCAGTGTTTCAATCCCATGTCAGAAATAAAAATTCTGAAAACAAATGGTTTATGCCTATCACTACTCATTGGTGATGCTGTTTCCTCTGGACAGTTCTGAGCTCCTGTATAAATGTTTGCTGACCCAACACTCAGAACAAATGGCGGCTGCTGCTGGGAGTCTCAGCTTTAAACTGACTGCTGAGCTTCCATGGTTCTTCCTTTCAACCAACCTGAGCCCAAACCTGCAGCACACAGTAGTTTGATGCATGCATGTCATCAACACACAAACTGTTTCCCACTTGATTTAGTATTGTGATCCATAGATTTAAAACAAATATGTTGTGGGTAAAGTTTAGTGGAAAGTTGTGGGAATAGCAACAAATGCCAGTTATTTACACAGCTGTGTGTTAGGAAAGTTGTTTAAAATTCAGGTCTGGAAAAATACAAGGGGGGGGGGGGTCAGGGTGTCTTTAGACTTTATTTCAGAGCAACTTAAAAACAGCTAATGAACTGTTTTAGTTTTGTGTTCTTCAAAGTGGATTATGTCATCAGTTTGCTGTGGACATTTTTTTTAACTGGCCGTGTTTTATTCTCCTTCAACCTTCTCAAAGACAAACCATAAGGCAACCAAGAGAGGCCAAAAGAGAAAAGCAAAACAAACAACTATTAAATGCAATTAAGGCAGGAGGGAATGCGCAAGACTAAACTGGACTAAACTAATATATGCTGAAGTTAATTTAGAGTTGGAGTAATTTCTTTTTGTTTGTGTTTTTTTAATTTATTGTTTTTGCAATTTGTGGATGCACAGAGAGAGATGAAGTACAAAAAAGTAGTTTTGTTGGAATCAATCCGAACTTTTTTCTGATCTCTTCGCTTGTTTTAGATACACAACACCAGCTATTAGATAAGGACCATGCGGGTGTGATAAAATATCTTAAATTTTTATGTAAGCAGACAACAGGTAGAGTCCTGGCTACATTTCCCACCCCCTGGTTTTGTCTGTATAAGAGCCAGCCACAGCAGATTCCTCCTCTGCCTGACTGTAGCTATGAACGGACCAGCCCTCCTGCTGCTTCTCACTGGTAAGAACAACTCTGCACATAGTGAACTTTTAAACACACTATTTGAATTTATTACCTGGTCTCCCCCTTCCCTCCTCCACAGCCTGTGTGGTCAGTGGAGGAAATGTGCCTAAAGCCATGTGGCAGTTTGGGAACGTGATCATGTGTTATCAGCCYGGTGTTAATCCTCTGGCGTACAACAATTACGGCTGCTGGTGTGGCTTGGGAGGAACTGGAACTCCGGTGGATGAAGTGGATGAGTAGGAAACAAGATCAAATTATCATTATTATTAGTCTAAAGAAACAAAACTCTCATTGTGCCTTAACCTCCTGCTGTTCTCAGGTGCTGTCGAGTTCATGACAAATGCTATGAAGCAAGCAGAAAGGATCCAGACTGCTCAACCATTTCTACCCTTCCCCACATTTTGGTTTATGATTTCAGCTGCTCTAACACACAGGTGGAATGTTCAGGTAAGAATTTGGTTTGAAGGGAGTTTACATATCTTAAAAATATGCATTTATATGAGCTGAAGCTTTATTCATGTTTWAGCTTTAAACTAAAAGATTTTTGAATGTAAAACTGCTGCAACAACAAYGTCCTACTCAGATCTTGATTTGATAAGAATGTTGCTGTAGAACAATTAGACTCTGAGCAAGTTATAAAACTTTTTGATTTAAAGAAAAATCCCAAAGTTTCTTTTTGAGTAAAGCAGATCAAGTTGATATTTTAAAAGAATCTTTCACTTGGTGACACAAGCACCAAATCTGTCACAAATTATATCTAGGATTTACTTTTTAAGAAAAGCATGTTATCCACTTGGAAACCCAAGAAAAAAAAAGAAAATATTTTCAGTAGGGGTGCACCAAAAAAATCGTTTTAAATTGGAATCGTGATTCTCATTTACAAAGATTCAGAATCGATTTATATATATATATA